AACACGAGTCACTCGCGATAACGGAGGGAATGGGGCAGTTATGTATCGTAGGGGATAAAACTGTCAGCCTCCGTTTATCTGAGAGATGCAAAAACACTCAATGAAAACCGAAACAACTCGAAGGGGACGATAGCCCGGCCGAGTGAGAGAACTCGATCTAATGCTAAGGTAGCCTGGTACTAAACCTAAGGCGTCACCTATAGCCAAACCCTAACCAAACCCAAACCAAGCCTAACCCTGTAGCTGAGGGTGTCGGCGTGCGAATGTGAGTACTAGGAGCGCTTGTCCTAGGGGCACTAGCCCAGAGAGAATAATGGGGTGAACTGAGACCGTGGGCTTGGGGCTGGATACACCAGGACACAAGGTCACACTGAGTATGGCGAGAAGCAAAGGAGATCGAGTTAGGGAACTATTCTACGATACAGGTGGTTCTTATATACATCCTGGGCTGACCCTTTAGGGCACGTCCTTACTGTACACTACAAGTGAACACTTACAGGAATCCTTAATGGATATCCAGTGGGTCCAGCAATGGGCACAATGGGTACAAACCGCTGAGTCAACATGCACAAGACTATTCTAGAACGTTCCAGACCTGGTCACATGTCCCTACATCACGACCACAAGGTCACATGCCATCACGTGCCTACCACATGACTGGTCACGTGCCTATCCCTCTATCCATCCCATATCTCCATTGTCGAAGTGGCACCTGGGGCCACAATGCCTGCAAGGCGCGTACACTCCTTAGAAACGCCGAGAAATAAAGAGTTAGGTTTAGCCCGAAGGCCGTTTCAGCAGGCTCTCCTAAAGCACTGTGGTTCGAAACAGAGGCGGGTGGAAGGTTCCAGGTTCGAAGGTTCAGGTATAAACGGTTGATGAGTAGATTCGGAAGCCTGATAGTTGTGCAAACGACGTAAATGTCGACATAGTATCATCATGCATAAGAATAATTGCAGCTTACGCTGAGAGGTACGGAGCTAGACTGTTCGACAACAGATACACAGCCTCGGAAGTGTTCTATGGCATTGGACATGCAATCGATATTTGTGGACATGAGGGCAGTGTGACTTACTTTTTTTAATGAAATCTAATGTGTCAATTTGAGTGACGATACCAATACATATGTAAAACGCGTACCAAATTAAGAGCAAGATTTGCGGCCGAGACTGCGAACACAACACTTCGGTCCATATAATCAGCGTAGTTTGAAAGTTAATAAGCATAACTTTGAATGTGTCTCGTACAAAAAGTAGAAGACCCCTAATCATCTGTGAGTACCATAGAGGCAAGAGAAACAAATATAGAGCAGTACCGTCACGAAGGAGAAGCTCAGTGATGCTTCTTTGTTTGAGCTCACGCATTTCCTTAGCCTGGTGGTATGTTTTGAAAAGTGTTATTCCGAACACATACGAGTCGAAAAGGAGAGGCATGACTGCGACTACGATAATGGCTGCGTAAAATATATTATCGAAGGGTTATCCTCAGTTACTTGATCGTGGGTGTTCACATCTGGTTCACATACATCTTTAATTCGTGTTCGCGTCAACGTGAAGGGTATCATAACGACATTCTAAAAAACTCACCGATCATAAGAACCTAGGTCAGACTCCTCTCCACAAATTGAAAACACATCATATTGAGTTCCTCTCAAGGATACTCCCACATAGAGAGTATATTCCTGAGACCATGGGACGAACCAAGGATGAGCGGTTTCGTTCGCATGCACTACCTCAGAATAGGAGCTTACCCAAGTGTCAACAGCGAGTCTGGCAATTATCATGATCAATGCTATGGTAAGAATAACTTTGTTCCGGCCACACAGGGCGTAGATTCTCAGGCTGAACAATACTGAGAATAATAAATAAAAGAGATCAGTATCACAAATTGTATGAACTGTATTTGCTTGGCACTGACGGTTTGTAGTCACAAGTGCAGTGATTTCCAGCCATGAAAACGCGATATAGATAGAGCTACAACTGACAGGCGCGTAACTGAAACATCAATCGATGTGTTTGTTGGATGCAAGCTAGGTGAGAACTTACGTTCTATTAGATGCAAAACCGGGCATCGCAAATATAAGATTGGCGATGAGGTTTGCTGCAAATGCATAGCGGTTCACAATGAAGATCATTGCAGTCCCAGTTATTCTCCCTTTCCAGACAGCCTCAATCTCCATCGTGAGGGTGTCAAAAAAGTCAACTAGCCATAAGGCTACAGAGACAAAGATCAACTCGGTTTTTGCGATGAATCTTGAGAAGAAAATCACGAACTCATGGCAGATAGGTATGTATAACTTCCTATGATCCTAGAGCGCGCTACTTATCAGAACAATGTAAGATATTTATGTCTTGAATATGACCCACCATAACCGGTCTTCGAGGATGATCTGCAGCTGCAAGAGATCGGCCGCCGAGGACATGGCAGAGGAAGTATTGTGCTCAAACGATGGGTAGGCATCCCGAATCCTACGACTTTTATATGTATCCAGTGCTTCTCACGCAAAGAGAATCGGCAACACCCCAAGATCCGGTTGCCAGTGTCGGAGTCAGCAACATCAAGACGGGTACAAAATCTGTGTTAAGTTCCAAAACATGTCTCACCGGATTGACCTACATGCCAGGGACCAACGACGGTCAATGTGTGGACAGAATCAATCGTCTCGTCTATCCTTGGCGCGTTTCGTCTTCTGTTGGTCAAGATAAAGTCCTGGATACGGAAGAAACGAACAAATTACTTTAACGTACGCTCGCCCCCTTCCCTCTCTCTCTTCCCTTGGCCCCTTCTTCGCTGGGTCCTTGTACCTTTACTTCTACCTCTCGTGCCACAGCCACAATGAACTTGGCACGCACCGTTCCAATGTCACAAACAACAACATCAATGGCTATGGCCGGAAAAAACAGGCAAATGGAAGATATGGAGGGGAAAGGCGACAAAGAGGAAGAAAAAGAAAACGAGAACGAACTAAGCTGCGATAACGACACGAACCACCTAGAACTATCAAATTAAAAAAAAATAGTCTCAGTTCTATCACCACAAACTCACAGTTATGATACAATCACAATGCCAAAACTGTTCTCACCTATTAGCCGCGCAGCGTCGGCGAGTAACATGTTTGATAGATGGGATAACTAGAACGAAGTGGGGCAGGGTAACTAACAATACACTCCGTAGCGAAGTAGGCTCTGGCCCTGTAGCTGTGCTACAAGTTGGATGGTAATGGGGAGGTGAACTTGGGTGCCTGATGATCAAGGAGGTGAACAAGGATGACCTAGTATGCCAGGATCTATGTGACCAGATGTAACGATCTACGAACAGGTTTTGTTCCGTTTCATAGCGCCGCTGAGTGTGCCACTCAGCTAGACCAACCAATCAATTTCGCCTGAAACAATCTCTCCGTATTCTGTCCCGAAGTCGATGTTGGTCGCAGACACTAGAGTGATTTCCTGATTTTGAACTGTGCCCAGAGCACCCAAGACGATCGACACTCTCGACTAGCGACCATCTCAGCACTCTCCGCAGCACGGCAGTCTGTCTCGATTCCCTTCGTAACGAACGTTGGGGCGGTGAAAGGGGAGGTTGCAGCGATGTCAGTCAATGTGAGGGTCGATATGAGCCCATCTTCACCACATACTGAAATTGTTACATTCCATCCTTCTCGTCCATCACTGTCACCTCATCTGGGTTCATCGTCAGGCTGAAGTGGTGACAGCACAACGAAAAGTCGAGACGCGAGCGTCATGATTCATCTCGTTAAGTTATGTGGTAGTATGAATAAATCGCGCACACAAACTTCCTCCATCTCGCTGTCGAAATTTTGATATTAGGACAAGTCCAGTAAATTGTATAATCAACTCAACTTGCTGAACAACATAGTGACCATCAAATGCTCAAGCGGGCAAAACATACCCCACGATACCTTCGCCCTTATCCCCACCTGCAACCGCACTCTCGTACTCCGTCTCATAATGGTCCGTCACCTGCGCATTATAAGCCCTAATTAGCGGTATACTTCCGCACACTGGACTCGGATATATCCAAGCCTGAATCGACTCGAACGTGTACCCGTGACTTTTCACAGCATTGTTCAAGTGGAACGTTGCCGGTGACACCCTGGAAGACGTAGCCATGGTCCGCGACGGCGTTGTACATATGTTGAGCTGTTTGGAGGTCACTGGCAAGGACGGATATGTATCACGTCCAGGAGGGCGGCCATCCACACCAGTGTCCTAGTGGCTTGTTCGAGAGTTTGGATAGGCATAGCCATGGCCTTCTTTGACTCCGAGTCTGGACACTGATAGCCTCCGAGTCAGCTTTGAAGGCGTGGTGTTCATCTGATAAGTATGAGGCAAAGACGGAGAGACAGAGCACAGCCCCTAAGGTGCAAGCATGAAGACAGATTGAGACAGAGTACGGGTGTTGAGAGGGTTGGGTGCGGTCGCCGGTGTAGTAGTAAGTCAGTAGTAAACCCTGTATCCAACTTGAAGTTGTGCATGCGCAAGGATGACCATCATCGTCGTCGTCGAGGTCGTTAAATATTTGCATAGAATCAGAGAAGTATCCCGAGGATTGAGCGCCTCTCTGAGTATAAATATAGCAGATAGAACACGAAGGCGCAGGCTGCACGAAGTTGGCGGTGATCGCTTCGGCTGTGACTCTTCAGCGGTTCGTTCGAAATGTACAGCAGTGTTTTCGAGCTCCGATGTGGCCCACCCAAAGTACTTATGTCCGACTGTGGCGATAGCGTACGAACAAAGAGCCTGTTCATCTCTCGAGTCTGAGTCTCTCCATACTGTCCCGCATGCACCAGACCGCCCTGGCTTTTTATCCCATATAATTTCCTGATTATCGACGAACGAACGTGGGCGGTGACAGCGAATAAATCAGCCAGGTCGGCCAAATGCGGTCTCCCTAAGTGGGGCCCACGGTGTGCTATTTAAACCTTTCCCTTGCCCTCCCTCCATCCTCCTCATCCCCATCCCTAACGGACTTATACGAGCATGAGCGAATCCACCCACCCCACCCCCTCTCCCAACCCCGACGGCCGCCTCGCCCTCCAATTCGGCGCCGGCAACATCGGTCGCGGCTTCATCGGCCCCCTTCTCTCCGAATCCGGGTACCACATCGTCTTCGCGGACGTCAACTCGTCCTTGATCTCTTCAATCAACGCTACACATTCCTACGTGCTCACCATCCTCGAATCGGGCGCGGATATCACACAGACGATCGAGAATGTTTCCGGCGTTCTTTCCAGCGGCGACGGTGAGGAAGTGATCAAGGTGTTCGAGAACCCGAAGTTGGATATCGTGACGACGGCGGTGGGACCTGTAGTGTTGAAGAAAGTGGCACCGGTGATTGCGCGGGGTCTGAGGGCGCGGAGGAGCAAGCTTGGGGAGAAGGGCCCGGTGAATGTGATTGCGTGTGAGAATATGGTGAGGCAGACGGAGACGTTGAGGGGGTATGTGTTCGAGCATCTTCAGGACGAGGAGGATAGGGAATGGGTGAATCGGAATGTTGGGTGAGTTTTTCGTCCCATCTTTATCTTCACTTGAACTGATACTTTAATGCTATTAATACGAATAGATTCGCGAACTGCTCCGTAGACCGCATCGTCCCCCCCGCAACCCCCTCGCATCCCTCCACCCCTGCTGACTCCCTCTCCCCCACCCGCTCCTCCACCCCCCTACCTCTCTCCTCGAACTCTCTCTCCCCCCTTACCGGCACCCAAACGCCCCTCGGCGTCCGCGTCGAAGGCTACTACGAATGGATCGTCGACCAACGTTCGCTCAAACCGACCCCAATGGCCGTAACCATCCCCTCGCTCAAATCCACCTCCAACCTCGCCGGCTACCTCGAGCGCAAACTCTTCACATTGAACACCGGCCACGCCATAACCTCCTACCTCGGTTTCATCCTGGGCTACACGACTATCGATGCGGCGATTAGAGATGAAAGGGTGTATGAGACGGTCAAGGGGGCGTTGGAGGAGAGCGGGAAGACGTTGGTGAGGAGGTATGGGTTTGAGCCTGGACATCATTCGAGGTATATATTGCGTATTATTCATCGGTTCGAGAATCCGAAGTTGGGGGATGAAGTGACGAGGGTGGGGAGGCAGCCGTTGAGGAAGTTGGGGAAGGGAGATCGGTTGATGGGGCCGGTGAAGTATGCGCTTGAGTATGGGTTGGGGTGGGATAATTTGGCGAAGGGGATTGCGGCGGCGTTCATGTTCGAGGCGGAGGGGGACGAGGAGAGTGTGGAGTTGCAGAGGAAGGTTAAAGAGAAAGGGATAGAGGGGGCGGTGGAGGAGGTTCTGGGGTTTGAGAGGGGGAGTGAGGAGAATGGGAAGGTTGTTGGGGCGTATGAGGAGTTGAAGACGTGGAGGAAGTAGAATTGGGAAGCGAAATAGATGAAGTCTAGTTTTATGGTTTGGATTGTAGCCCTGCTTGCCTCCTTGTTTTCATTAGATGGATGTATCCCCTGTATGTACTACAGAATAATAATCAACGCCCGTCCTCTCACCTCTTTCACTGACCATACAATACTACAGTAATTCGATGTACTCGAAGACGCTCATTTTCAGGCTGTTTATCATCCTTCTACGTGGGCCGGTTTGTTTGTATGTACAATAGTATGTATGTTACGCCACATTGGTAGTCTGGCATGTAGGAACCAACCAAGAAAGATGGGCAACATCATCGGAGTTCGAAAACTCAGCAACTACGATTCTACGAAAGAAGCGCCAGCACCGCCACGCAGCAGCCCATCTTTAACTTCGTCCTCATCCGCGCATACTTACCTTCCTTTATTTTCATCCCTGGGGGAGCGCTGCCTTCGGCAACAGCCACCTTGCTTGGGAAATTAGTTGGGAGCTTTCGACATTATTTTCTATAAGCGATACACAGGCAGATGAATGCTGGACGTGTCCCCATACTGTACTTTTTCGACCAAAGGTTCATCAAAAATGTACGTCACCCATCAGTTTCTCCCGGGTCACAGTTCAGAAACCGTGCGTGAGCGTGACGGGACCCGTAAATGGTTCCACGCCACGTTCATCACCAAATTAAGCAACACAAATTTAGACCAATGTGTCCTTTATTGTTATCGTAAGAGTCAAAGTGTAGATAGAACCATCTGGACTGGCAGCGTGCTGGAGTCAACGTATACAGGTCAGGCAGCAAAGACATGGGGCCAAACAAAAAGGGATGAAGAAGGGAAGAGGACCAGGGAAATGTATGATGGTTTTCCTAGGACAGAAGGGAGATATTTTGTTGGAAATATGAGTTAGGAAGGAGTCTGACTACGTCCCATCAGCAAGACAGCATGCCGCTGTGGCGTCTGGAACCTCCTGGAGCGGCTGGGTTGTCCGGACTGCTGGAGCCAGCTCGTCCAGGGCAGGCAATTTTGTCCAGAACTTCCAGATTCCAATGGCATCGGGAAAACCCTCCCAAGATAGTTATCAATATCTCCTCCATATTCATGTAAACTCGTAGCATACCTGCTTCATGTACACCTTCCGCAAGACACTGGCAGATATTTTCACATATTTTGTGACATTCAGGCTGGGATGATCAAACTTGATCAAACCATGATCACAGTCATGTACATTTCGTAAACACGACTATGTACACAATGGTATCAAACACTAAGAGCTCCAGAAAATAGGGAATAACTGAAGACGACGTGTACTGTACAGGTTGACAAGATCGTGGAGCAGGCAACGCTGACACTTCGTACGGGGCAAGGATAACGAACACAAGGAAAGTTGCAGAAAGATAATAATAATAAACATACGGGCACTCAAGGTGCTGCGTGGCCCTGATCCCATGCATTTTCCGAAGGTCATACCAATCCCTCCAAACACTTCAGTGATCCCGAGAGAGAATCCTCCACTCCAAATTATACAAAAGGGTTACCAGAGGGGGCAGGAAGATGGGGTTAATGAGCAAGCTGGGGTCGAAGACGAGGCAGAGGTAGCAGTGGAGAGGGTGAATCAAAAAGGGCGCGCCTAGATGAGACGCACCATCGCTGCCGTTAAGCACGCTGACTTATCACAAGCCATAGTGTTCGAGAGAGCTCGGAGGGTGATGTTGGTTTTGACAGGAGTGAGGCAGATGATGGACAAAGTCGGAGGCTGAAGCAATAGTGAAATTGAACGAAAAGTCACATTGTTGAGGAATGCGTGGCGCTGACGCGAAAGAGAAGTCCCTCGATCGTTGAAACGGCCTTCGGGCTAAACCTAACTCTTTATTTCTCGGCGTTTCTAAGGAGTGTACGCACCTTGCAGGCATTGTGGCCCCAGGTGCCACTTCGACGATGGAGATGTAGGATAGGGTGGCGGACCGAACCTAGGTTTGGTACCCAAAACGTTTTGTACCGGGTAAGTTACCGGTTTGGAACCAGTAACTTACTGACCCCTCAGAGGAGGGTAGGTTAGGTGTAACACACATTTTCCCGCTAGGGAGTATTTTAAACGTAGAATAAATTTCGCAGCCTTCAGTTGTTGATTATCCTATCTTATCTCGAGTCGGAGCTTGTCGGAGTTTGAATTGCCTGTATTTACTCGCTTCGCTGGCATCGGCTAATCTCATCTGCTGCACTCATCGTCTCTTCTCTTTTCTTTTTCTTTCTCTCTCTCGACGTCGCCTTAGTTCGCCTCAACCGGCGGTCTACGGCGAGTGCAGGCGGTATCGCCATCCTCTCGACGTCGCCCTAGCGTGCCTCGAACGGCAGTCTAGGGCGAGTACAGGCGGTATCGCCATCGGACCTCAACCCAGCTCGCACACACTGAAGGTCCCCCCCGCCGCTCCGTTCATCGGGTAGCCGCGGCAGTCTCAAGCCTCAGGTTCTTTTTCTTTCTCTTTTCGTCTTTTCTTTTT